ACAACTTTTCTCTCTTTATCTGCCCCCAGCACAAGACTAATATCAAGTGTAACATTAAAAGGTCTCCCCAAAAACTGCGGAAAATCCCCAGATGATCTGTGTAATGTCCGCTTATTACTTTGTTGCTTGCATTTCCCAAGACCTGCATATAGATTGCTGTATTTCTACAATCAATATTTACTTAAGGTGTGTTTGAAGGCCATATACGAAAAAGCGAAAAAGCATAATACTCTTAACCTCCTCGGCGGTATGATTCTTTCCGTTTTTTTGTGCTGAAAGCGGTACCATTTTTTTGCATGGAAATATGTAGTTTTTTATTGTAGGCTGTAATTTTTAGGAATAACTCACTGAAATCTGTCCGAACAAGAGTCTAGTAAACATCCCGGGTATGATAAAACTTGAAACACAAAATCATAAATTATAATTTAATAAATAATCATAAAAAATAATAATATAATAATAATAATTTAATTCAATAATATAATCAAACCAAAAACACTGAAGTTTGAAATACAGAGGCAAATTCGCACATCGCTGAGCAAAGTCGCAAAATCGTTTTCAATGTTTGATGACGAATTTCCCCCACGAATCATTATCACTCAATTCTGCAAGTGGTTCTGATTTACTATCGCTGTTCTCTAGCCGGTCTAAAACTGCTTTTGACGTAAAGGGACGCTTTTTGGACGCCATGGACTTTTCTAAGTTTCCAGGCAGAAAGAACAGTCAAAATGCAGGCAGGGCGCAGGACAAAGGAGCAGGGACAAAATGTATGTGAAATGCATTGAAATAGCAATGACAGCAAAAATGACATTTTTTAAAAAAATTCAAATTTCCCGCCGTCACGGGGACCGGAACACAGAAGCCGGATGCCGGCATCGGCTGGAGGAGATGGCCGGCGACGCTGGAGACAGATCGCGGGAGCGAAGGACAAGGTAAGTGCTGCAGGGACCCCCAGAGAACGCCGCATGGTAAGCCCGAGTGTAGCTCGGGGTTACCGCTCTTGGTATAGAAATTTAGAACCGCTAAGGAGGTTAAGCAAGTCATTGTGTTAAAATATGATGCCCACCTACGTCGCAATAGGATTGTAAGGCTTAAAAATGTGATTAAAATATATATATATATAGTATATATTTTATTTATCTTAGCCAGGATTAAAAAATAACTAAGAAAAAAATTAAGGTTTTAGTTGCATAATAATATTGTGTACCAGTGGGTGGAGCTTTGGCCTCCAGTTTACCAGGATCCTGTTTTTCAGGAACTTCTTGGCTACTTGCTGTTTACAGAGCTCAATAGCTCAGGCAGATATTTACAGATAATATTTATAGATACTGTACAGGAGAATCACGGTAGGTATTTCTCGCCCTCTCTCTTTACATAGCTATAACATAGGCTTCAAAAATTGTCTCAAAGGAGACAATTGGGCTTGTTCACACTAACTCTTACCAAATGCTCCTATAGCTTCCCCATGGAAAGGCGTTAATGAGCTTTAGTATGGGCATAAGACTGGTGTTATTAAGTGTTAGTATGGGCGTTAGACTGCCTCTAATGAGCTTTAGTATGAGCAGCTTAAGACTGGCGTTAATGAGCTTTAGTATGGGCATTAGATCTGCGTTAATGAGCTGTAGTATGGGTGTAAGACTGGCGTTAATGAGCTGTAGTATGGGTGTAAGACTGGCGTTAATGAGCTTTAGTATGGGTGTTAGACTGGCGTTAATGAGCTTTAGTATGGGCGTTAGACTGGTGTTAATGAGCTTTAGTATGGGTGTTATACTGGCGTTAATGAGCTTTAGTATGGGTGTAAGACTGGCGTTAATGAGCTTTAGTATGGGTGTGACTGGCGTTATGAGCTTTAGTATGGGCGTTTAATGAGCTTTAGTATGGGCGTTAGACTTGCGCTAATGAGCTTTAGTATGGGCAGTATACCAGCATTAATGCGCTTTAGTAAGGGCGTTAGACTGGCATTAATGAGCTTTAGTATGGGCATTAGATCTGCGTTAATGAGCTGTAGTATGGGTGTAAGACTGGCGTTAATGAGCTTTAGTATGGGTGTAAGACTGGCGTTAATGAGCTTTAGTATGGGCGTTAGACTGGTGTTAATGAGCTTTAGTATGGGCGTTAGACTGGTGTTAATGAGCTTTAGTATGGGGTGTTATACCGGCGTTAATGAGCTTTAGTATGGGTGTAAGACTGGCGTTAATGAGCTTTAGTATGGGTGTAAGACTGGCGTTAATGAGCTTTAGTATGGGCGTTATACCGGCGTTAATGAGCTTTAGTATGGGCGTTAGACTTGCGCTAATGAGCTTTAGTATGGGCAGTATACCAGCATTAATGCGCTTTAGTAAGGGCGTTAGACTGGCATTAATGAGCTTTAGTATGGGCGTTAGACCGGCGTTAATGAGCTTTAGTATGGGTGTTAGTAGATATGGTGGTGTAGTGCTAATACCATGTGATAATTGACATTAAAAAAAAAATAAAGAACTCGATATTAAATGGGTGAGTACACAAATTGTATGAATAAAATATATAGCTGTACAGTGGTGCACCTAATGTGTATCCCAAAAACATGCCATCAAGAATGTGACTAAATATAAGTGATAGGTGATTAAAGTGAAACAAAAACGCACGCTTACCTCCAATCTTTGACCCTCAAGGAGTCATAAGGCATAACAAATCACCAGTATACTGTAGTTCCCGGAGGGATGAATCTCACTCTCTGGATGGACACAGGGTCAGCTTCCACACAGCCCACGGTTAATCAACCATTACAATGGTAAGGCACCTTTACAAAACTCCTCCACTCTCCCAATGGCTCATAAACAGGGAATCAGAGAAAAAGCCACCATAGTGTAATAGAGTAAAGTTTATTATACCATACACAAATGCCAAAGACCTACTCACACATTAAAATCAGGTCATAGACCCACCAGGCATGAACTGTATAACCCACAGTCAGGGTGCTTGCATAGGGAGTCCAAAGATGGCTGCCATCCATATGTAATTGCATCACCATGCTCTAGTCTGACATGTTGCATCACGATAACATGTGACTTCTCCAGGGATCCTTTTAGTATGGGCGTAAGATTTGCGTTATTAAGCTTTAGTATGGGTGTTAGACTGGTGTTAATGAGCTTTAGTATGGGCGTAAGACTTGCGTTAATGAGCTTTAGTATGGGCATTAGACTGGTGTTAATGAGCTTTAGTATGGGCGTAAGACTGGCGTTAGTGAGCTTTAGTATGAGCGTAAGACTGGCGTTAATGAGCTTTAGTATGGGCGTAAGACTGGCGTTAATGAGCTTTAGTATGGGCGTAAGACTGGCGTTAATGAGCTTTAGTATGGGCGTAAGATGGCGTTAATGAGCTTTAGTATGGGCGTAAGACTGGCGTTAATGAGCTTTAGTATGGGCGTAAGACTGGCATTAATGAGCTTTAGTATGGGCGGAAGACTGGCATTAATGAGCTTTAGTATGGGCGATAGACTGGCGTTAATGAGCTTTAGTATGGGCGTAAGACTGGCGTTAATGAGCTTTAGTATGGGCGTAAGACTGGCGTTAATGAGCTTTAGTATGGGCGGAAGACTGGCATTAATGAGCTTTAGTATGGGCGATAGACTGGCGTTAATGAGCTTTAGTATGGGCGATAGACTGGCGTTAATGAGCTTTAGTATGAGCGTTAGACTGGCGTTATTGAGCTTTAGTATGGGCGTAAGACTGGCTTTTTACTAGCATTAAAAATGCTCCCCAAACATCGTATGTGCAGTTTTGAATTGTTTTATAAGCGTTTGACAAGCGTTAAAGCCACACCACAAACTCAATAAACTGTGTTATTAACGCTCCACAACCGCACTGCAAATGCCCCACAAACACCTGCCAGTGCGTTTAAGGAGTGTCACCATAGACTTGAATGGGAGATGTTGAAAGGCTTCAAACTCCTCCAGACTCAACATGAGGCTTCAATTTTAAAGCAAGGGAGAATGTCACCAGCACAAAGAGGATCACCAATATGGGTCCAAAAGTTTTCAGAAACGATCACATAGTTACAGCAAGGCAACGTTTCGGAGTCTCGCAGGACCCCTTCTTCAGGCAAGTGATGATATACGTTATACACACAGCCAGTTTTAACGCAGGAACGTGTGCGGTTGGATTGTACACTTTAAATTTTGAAGCAATGCTAACACTTCATGTTTTGATAATGTGAACAGCACTGTGTGCTGCCCGTAGTATTATTTCCATAGGTGTTTGAGGAGCGTTAAAGACACCCCTCAAACGCCTGTTTTCAATGCCAGTGTGAACTAGTCATGATCTCTCTTTAGATAATGTATAGTGCTACTGAAATCTTTTGCCAGGTATTCAATTGTTGTCAAAGCATAAGTTTAAAAAAATTATAAAAAATAATTAAGGGTCTGGTGTGCATTCGGGGGGACTCCGTGGCGTTTTTATTTTTTCCAATTTGCGGCATGGTGTTCCCCTATAAAAAACATGCCAGACCTGCACCTCACATGTGTGAACCCAGTGTGTGGAAAACCAGTGCACCCAATCACCAGTTTCCCCACTGCTCTTCTAATAACTGCAAATAAAAGTAAGGAACAAGCCCTGTTTTTATCATCCTCTTGTCTGGCAGGCCTGCAAGGCCTAAGGGGTGGGAGCCACAAGGTGACATCATCTGGTGACCCTGCCCCCTTGTGCAGGGGTGGACTGACAACTCATGGGGCCCCCGAGCAATAGGGGATCATGGGGCCCCTGTGCCCTTGCCCAAACTCAAAAAAGCCTATGAAAAAGGTACCAGGGGCATCTCATGGGCCCCCTACTGACCCCAGACCCTCGAGCAGTGCCCGAGTTTCCAAATGGTCAGTCCGCCCCTGCCCTTGTGACATCATCAACCCAGCATGCATATGCATTTTTACTGCGTTTTTTTAACCACTTTCCCGCCGCCCTATAGCAGAAATACTGCTACAGGGCAGCACAGGTGCGCAAAATCACATATATATACGTGATTTCGCAGTTGCTGCCATTCGCGGCCTCGGCTGCCAATCACCGAGTCCCGGTCAGTGATTACTCGCCAGCACCCTGGTGATCACTGAGTATTACCAACGGAGGAGAGGTCTGTATGTAAACAATAATGTCAGCTCTTGCACACTGCTTTGTATGGCTCTGCATAGCACAGCTATACAAAGCAGTGTGCTTACAGTGAAACACACACACAGCCTCATAGTAAAGCACAGCACACTGTTAACCCTTTGATTGCCCCAGATATAAACCCCTTCCTGCCCAGTGCCATTAGTACAGTGTCAGTGCTTTTTATTAGCACAGATCACTATATTGGAGTCACTGGGGATGTCAGCGACACCAAGTCAGTTCCCCCCCCAGTGTCAGAATGCCCGCCACAGTCCTGCTATAAATCGCTGCTGGTCGCCATTACTAGTAAAAAAAAAACAATTCCAGTATATACCACCATTTGTAAATGCTATAACTTTCAAGTAAATCAATGAATACATTTTGGCCTAGATTTATGACGAAATTTGATTTTTTTTTTTTTTTAATTTTTATTGTTTAGCAAAAAGGCAAAAATATATAGTTTTTTTCTCAAAATCGTTGGTCTTTTTTGTGTTTAGAGTGCAAAAAATAAAAAACGCAGAGATGATCAAATACCACAAAAAGAAAGCTCTACTTGTGGGAAAAAAAGGATGTCAATTTAATTTTGGTGCAGCGTTGCACGACCGCACAATTGTCAGTTAAAGTAACGCAGCGCCGTAACGTAAAAAATGGTCTGGCCAGGAAGGGGGGGAAATCCTCTGGAGGGCAAGGGGTTAATTGGAGCAGTGTGTGAAAACAACCATAGATATTCAGAGATCCATTACTGTACCCCCATCATTTGGTTCCTATACTCCTGGTAAGAAGCCTCCTCCACTATGACCAAAAAAAAAAAAAAAAAGTTGGTTTGGTGTTCCACGTTTAATGCAGAAACTCCCACGATTGGTAACTTTTTATAACTGGGTAACGTTTCCTAATACTGTAAATTACTTTTTTGTATTTCTTTTCCTTTGCTCTCCGCTGCGCTGTGCGGCATATTTCTGCTCTGTGTGAACGCAGTCAGTGTGTGTTCAGCTTATAAACCTCTCACTGGTACGGCGCGCACTGCTCCCTTTGTGTTGCCAGTTATCCCGCTGGCGTGCTGTGAGAAGGTCCTTTCTGACTTGTACTAAGCCTGTTATCTTCGAGTCTCACAAATCCTATTTAATGCCGGGTGGCAGATGCATGTATATCTATAAAGAAAAAAACTTGTACATGAATGTTTCCAAAATGTCTGTTTCCAAAATCTTTACAAGCACTATTTGTATTGATCGGCAAAATAAAGACTTGTTGTGTTTCTTGCTCTCTACTTTGTAATTGAACCTGCATTTTTGTCACCGTGTAAACTCTAAAAGCCCATGAAATGTAAATTAACCTCCCGGCCCTTTAAGGGGTTTCAGATGCTGGGAGGCTGGGCGGGTTTTAGGGTCATGTGACTGCCGTGATTCGCTGTCATGGCGGTCACATGATCGGAAAAGGTCCCGATCGCAAGGGGAGATCAGGACCTTTCTGTGAGACACCGACATATGTGCTGGGAGCGCAATGGTGTGCAAACATGCAGCTGCTCGGCGTCAAGGCCCAACCGCCGAGAGGCTGCATATTTGCGCACGGTCGGCGTCAAGGGGTTAAAAAGTCATTTTTAATCTTTTTGAAATCTGCTGCTTTCATTTAACCACATGCTGGAGTTTGTCAGTAGGTCCCAGCCAATGATTCATGGCTGGGACATGCTGATAGGCTGTGTCCAATCACAGTCCAGAGCCCTGTGTTGACAATCAACACAGGGCTCTGTACAGAGAGAACTATCTCTCTGTTTCTTCTCTCTTCAAAACTGTGAGAAAGCCGAAATCTGCTGCTTTCATTTAACCACATGCTAGAGTCTGTCAGTAGGTCCCGGCCAATGATTCATGGCTGGGACCTGCTGATAGGCTGTGTCCAATCACAGCTCAGAATCACAGACAATCAACACAGGGCTCTGTACAGAGAGAACTATCTCTCTGTTTCTTCTCTCTTCAAAACTGTGAGAAAGCCGAAATCTGCTGCTGTCATTTAACCACATGCTGGAGTCTGTCAATGCCAATGATTCATGGCTGGGACCTGCTGATAGGCTGTTTCCAATCACAGCCCAGAGCCCTGTGTTGACAATCAACACAGGGCTCTGTACAGAGAAAACTAGCTCTCTGTTTCTTCTCTCTGCAAAACTGTGAGAGTCCAAATCTGCTGCTTTCATTTAACCACATGCTGGAGTTTGTCAGTAGGTCCCGGCCAATGATTCATGGCTGGGTCCTGCTGATAGGCTGTGTCCAATCACAGCCCAGAACCCTGTGTTAACAATCAACACAGGGCTCTGTACAGAGGGAACTATCTCTCTGTTTCTTCTCTCTGCAAAGCAGGGAGAAGAAACAGAGAGATATTTAGTAAAATGCAGCACATAATACACATATTACACAAATTGTTAGGCACACATTTAACCCTTTGATGTTAACCTCCTTCCCAGCCACTGTCATTAGTACAATGAATGTAAAGGATTATCACCATCTCTAGGGACAACTATTAACAAACATATGTAGGCATAGAACACACTCCGTGCAAAGCCCCCCTTAAAGGAGATTTATACAAAAAAAAATTGGTTAAACCAACAAGTGTTTTTTTACCATTACTATTCCTTTATATTGGCTTTTGGAATTTACAAATACAGCAATATAGAAATTGGATAAAAGATTTAGTATTGTAAAACATTTTTGATAGATAATACATAAAAGTGCAGCGCTTAAAAAAGTGACAAATAATCAGAAACAGTGAAAAGTGTATGGGATGGAGCCACGCACACACGCTACTGCGCGTGCGCGAACGGCCAGCGGCCATTTTGGATTTTTTGCCAAACAATGCCTAATGATGTTTGGTTACATAAACATAAATGTTGTGATTATGGTTCTACACTATGTGGAGAGCTCTTTCTATGCATGTTTTCTACTACGAGGCCAAGCCTCATCCTGAGCGGTTTAGCTACTCCAATTAAGGTCCATTGTTTGAAGATCTTTTTTATCTACTCTTTTGGAGATCTGGAGGAGGATTCGAGTGTCCGGCTTTCTGGATTGTTTCATGATTGAACACTCTTAACAGGGGACCATGCCTTTCTGGTAAGCCTTATGTAGTAGTGGTTGGTGACACACCATCTGTCCTTGGATTTCTTTTGTTTACTTACAACCTCTGGGACTTTTCTTTCATTTTTGGATGGACTATTTTTTGATACACTTTTCACTGTTTCTTTTTGATTATTTGCCACTTTTTTAAGCGCTGCACTTTTATGTATTATTGCAGATTGCCTAGTATCAGGATTTTTGTGTTCAGCTACTATATGTTTTACAACTCATTTTTTGATTATTGATTATCTATTGTGGTTTTTATTAGCGCAGGTTTATATACAGTGAAGGAAATAATTATTTGATCCCCTGCTGATTTGGAATGTTTGCCCACTCACAAAGAAATGATCAGTCTAAAAATCGAATGGTAGGTGTATTGGTATAGGTGTACCCCTCGTGTATCGCATTGTATTGTTATTGTACTGTGGCATGTTCTGTCCCCCCTTTGTAATGTACAGCGCTGAGCGAACTGTTGGCACTTTATAAATACTGTATAATAATAATAATTGTAACACTGAGAGACAGAATAGTAACAACAAAAAATTCAAAAGAAATGCATGTCTAACAAATTATGCACTGATTTGCATGTTCAGGAGGAAAATAAGTATCTGATCCCCTTCACAAAACATGACTTAGTACTTGGTGGCAAATCCCTTGTTGGCAATCACAGAGGTCAGACGTTTCCTGTAGTTGACCACCAGGTTTGCACACATCTCAGGAGGGGTTTTGGTCCACTCCTCTTGGCAGATCCTCTCCAAGTCATTAAGGTTTGGTGGCTGACGTTTGGCAACTCGAACTTTCAGCTCTCTCCACAGATTTTCAATCGGATTAAGGTCTGGAGACTGGCTAGGCCACTCCAGGACCTTAATGTGCTTCTTCTTGAGCCACTCCTTTGTTGGCTTGGCTGTGTGTATTGGGTCATTGTCATGCTGGAACACCCATCCATGACCCATTTTCAATGCCCTGGCTGAGGGAAAAAGGTTCTCATACCAAGATTTGACGGCGAGTTGAGTTGATGCCAAAGAGCTGGATTTTGGTCTCCTCTGACCACAACACTTTCAACCAGTCCTCCTCTGCATCATTCAAATGTTCAGTGGCAAACTTCAGACGGGCCTGGACATGTGCTTTCTTGAGTAGAGGGACCTTGCGGGCACTACAATCCTTGTCGGCGTAGTGTGTTACCAATTGTTTTCTTGGTGGCTGTGGTCCCAGCTGCCTGGAGATCATTGACAAGATCCTCACGTGTAGTTCTGGGATGATTCCTCACTGTTCTCATGATCATTGACACTCCACGAGGTGAGATCTTGCATGGTGCACCAGAATTAGGGAGACCGACAGTTGTTTTGTGTTTCTTCCATTTGCGAATGATTGCACCAACTGTTGTCATCTTCTCAACAATCTGCTTGGCAATAGTCTTGTAGCTCAATCCAGCCTTGTGTAGGTCTACAATCTTGTACCTGACATCCTTGGACAGCTCTTTGGTCTTTGTCATGGTGGAGAGTTAGGAATCTGATGGTTTGATTGCTCCTGTGGACAGGTGTCTTTTATACAGGTTACAAAATGAAATTAGCAGCACTCCCTTTAAAAGATTGCTTCTAATCTCAGCTTATTACCTGTATGAAAGACACCTGTTAGCCAGAAATCCTGCTGAATGATAGGGAATCAAATACTTATTTCCCTCATGAACATGCAAATCAGTGCATCATTTGTTAGACATGCATTTCTTTTGAATTTTTTGTTGCTATTCTGTCTCTCAGTGTTACAATACACCAAACATTTGATATTTAGACTGATCATTTCTTTGTGAGTGGGCAAACATTCAAAATCATCAGGGGATCAAATACTTATTTCCTTCACTGTATATATTTATCTTTATTTTTGATAGATAGTACATTTTATATATAACTATAGAGATCAAACCCAATTAAGGGAGAAGTGAGGAGGAAAGATTGACAGAGGAACTTTGTTCAGAATGAGGAACAATCCCTTGAAATCAGGGACAGTTGGGAGCTATGTACACCATTTCGGGGATCTGTAAAACCTACAGTGTGAATATTTTGTGCACAATCATTTAAAATGGCTGTATGCTGTTTTGTGATTAATGGCAAGTGGTGAATCTTCAGCATGGCAAACATTGCTATCATCTACTCCTGCCCAGCAACAAGCTCATCAGCAGAACCTGGCAGCGCAGCAAG